TTTTACATTCTTTATTTGTTCCCAATGTTAACACTAAGATGTTAGGTTTAATGTATTTTTACATTCTTTATTTGTTCCCAATGTTAACACTAAGATGTTAGGTTTAATGTATTTTTACATTCTTTATTTGTTCCCAATGTTAACACTAAGATGTTAGGTTTAATGTATGTTTACATTCTTTATTTGTTCCCAATGTTAAGACTATTCAATCCTGGGATACATTTGAAGGTTAAATATCAACTTACCTCTGCATTAAACTTCGCTCGGGCCCCAGGAAGAAACTTCTAGATAAAGGAAAAATTAAACATTCATGAAAATGACAGAAATTCACTTTTTCCTTCCCCTTTAAAAACTATTTTCAAAATTGGCCAATATTTCTGGCACTAGGAACACTGCTTTACAAATGCCATTTTTGTAAAACTTTAAAATGATTTCTAGTTTGTTGGATGTTAAGATTTTTTTTGGTGAAACTTAGTATTAAGTGAATAAAAAACTTTGAGATCTGGGTTTTTAGTAAAATGTTGGAAATCATTTTGTTTCTTTAAAAGATACGCAAGTATACAACTTACATTTGTATTCAAAAAGTTTTCCATTTTATATTGGAAATCTAAGACTCTCAAGTAAGTTGAAAACTTTAAAAAAATTTTGAATAGTGAACAGAGTAACAAAATGCTGAAAACTTATGTTAGGTAAATTATGGTTAAAACTACTGTAATTCTTATAAAAATATAGAAATTATTTATTAAGAAAAATCAAACACAGATATGCAATTCTTAAGTTTACTGATTTATCACAATAGTTTTTTATATCTTTCACGAGAGGTAACCATACATCACACTCCTACAAGTAATACAGTTATTAATATTGGTTTCATGAAATCTAGACAACACAAAAAAACACCAGTGAAAGTTGACTTACTTTCCACATTTCTTCTGTAATCTTTATAGGAACTCTCCATGCAGCTTAACAGAGATAGATTAGAACTAATTAGGTTAGTAAATAAACAGTCATAAAACCTAGATTACAGAGCTAATAAAATTACATCCAAATACACATGTATAACTTCCATGTAAAGTTTACAGCAATATTTCATCATTTCTACTGAAAAAGAGGTGTCTTGCATGCAACATCACAAAACGTAGTTTTGTTCTTCACTGCCATGCTGGACGTAAAACATTCTGTTCTAGTAATCAACATCAATATAATATTTGTATATATTTTAGTTCTATGGCCAGCCGTGAAACATAAAAACAAGATAATTTACAGCATCACACAACACAATATCAGAAGGCAGATTTGTAATGTTTTACCAAAAGACAAATGTATGTCCAATATGGTGAACTATAGACCGTGTGACTTTTTTGATGTCAGAATACGACTTCCATACCACATCCCTCTGCTAATCCCTTCAGAGATAACTAGGGAACTACATCTCCTCACTTTCCCACAAAATCATAAATTATTTCTCATGTCACTTTATTCACATTACATTGATATCGGGAGTTTATAATCCAATTCTATTTAAACTTTGTCAGTCGTTACTTTCACAGTTCAAGTTTATTAGTAGTTATTTAGACCATCTCATGCTGTCGGAAAGGAAGCCTGTAATAATAAAATCTCAAACAGAGAGGGAAATTCCCAAGAGAAACAAGACTTGTCTAATTGTATTTTCAACGGATGATAGCCTTTAAACAAATAAAAACCTAAGCTTTAGGATGGGGAGAGATTTTTTTTTTTGAAATACGTAAGTGAATTGTTTAAAGGCAAGGTTCCTTGGAGCTGTGTAGAAATATAAGTTAAAACATATTTTGTAGTGAATTACACTAAATAAACGTTGCAAGTGACAAAATGTCAATTATAAAATATTTTTGAGTTAAAAAAGTCACTCAAAATTTGCAGTTACTTTACACTAGAACCATTACAACTTGGAAATACTTAATACTCTTCAAATACAACTAATTACTCAGTTATTTGTATAAATACAAATATTTGTATAAATAAATACACTCAATATCTGGAGACAATAAATAAATTTTATGGATTTTTAGTGATTCCAGGAAACCATATTTGTTATACCTTGGTTTCATTTTCTACAAATTGGAAGCTAGTTTTAATTCCTTTTGAACTATTTTCAATGCATAGATTCCCGAGGGGCGTGGGGAATGATGTAATATTGTTTAAGAAAAAGTTATCTATTTTTTATAAAAGGATGTTAAATTAATTATATCTTTATGTTTAAAAAACATCTTTTACAGCAAAATAATTTGGTAAATAAAAACCAGAAAAAAAAAAATTGAATTCACATTTACCAAATCTAACTAAGTAAAGAATAAAATTTGTAACTTTTTTTTATAAGAAATTTGTAATAAATACTGCTTACTCATTAAATGTGGAACTAATGCATAATCAACTTTAAACTGGTTTACACCACTATACTGCTGATACTTCTGGGCCATTGGCAACCTCAGAGCTTCTAAGTGTCCAAACAAAACGTCATTTAGCCACTGAACATTTACAACAGGTATTCCCCACTCTCTTGCTTTTTCATATTTCTTTCCTTCCTGTCTGTAAAGTTGAAAACAAAGGACAATAAAGGTGAAATTTCAATTAAATTAAAAACAATTATGCATTAAATATTCTTTATTCAAACTGTAAGAACCAACTTTACTGAGAAACAACAAAGAAGAGAGCAATATGTGAAAACAAATTTATAATCTCAGGAAAATATAAAACTTTTTTATGATAAGAAGTAAATTGGAACATTTAGTTAATTATTAAATTAACTAATTAACTAATGTTAATTTAGTTAACATTAAATTTGTTAATATACTGTTGTATCATCTCCACAACTAAACCCACACAGGAGAGAGATGTCATTATTTAGTAAATTACTAGGTTGTAAGTTTACCTTTATCATTTCAAAGACTGGGGGGAAAAAAAGTTACATGAACCTCACCATTTTTCAATATTTGTAATGTTGACTGGAGAACAAAAGACACTGTAATAACTATTTCATAAAAAAATATAAATATTTTCTAGACTGTGACTTTTACACACACACACACACAACAAATATTTCTAAATGTTCTTCCTTCCCCTGAAATGTTAGGCTTGTTCAATAAACTAACTAACTAGAAACATTACTAAAATTTTACAGAAGGTATAATTTACCTTTTAGTAACAAGCAAGGAGTTTAAACGACTCATGTACCCAGTATATTTGGCACCGGTAGCAATAATCATCTGTTTCAAGATGCTTCGTTCTTCACCTTCAAAGTTTGTCACAGCAATAATCTTAACAAAATCATAAAATTAAACATTTAACCACCTTCTACAAAATTCTTGTTAATTTTATAATGGAAGAACTTATCTAAATATTTTTTTTGCAAAGAAAGCTTAAGTACAAAATGTTTGAATACTTTTCAAACTTAAACAGATTTGTTAATATTATTTTTCAACTGAGCATTAATTTCATATCCATTCAACCCATAGACACACTCATTTCAATAAATATTTGATGCTTGATTTTTGATTAAGTATTGCAATAACCTGTCCATGAAATTCAGCACCAATTAACCATGGGAGTGAATCCTCATTAAAGGCCACAGGGTCTTCTCTTCACATTCATTTTCCTCAAACAAAAAAGTGTGTGAATCATGTTCAGTCACATATTACATACAAACTAAAGATCTGGATTGATAATCAAGTTTACAGGACTCATCTTACTGGACAGTTTTAAAAAACAAACAATCATCGTGGGAAAAGGGCAAAAAAATTCCAACATCCAAGAAACAAAATGTGAAAAAGTATACAGAAAATTATTATGGGTCATTAGAAAATCTACAAACTGAAGTAGCCAAACTAAGCTCATTAATTTGGAACTGAAGAAGACTCTTTAGTTTGTTTAACCCTCTCACCACAAGCATCCTTTACTGTCCATGTCACAAGGTTTTTAGTGAGTTAAATTCAAAATTCAATTAAACTACTTTTTGTTTATATTATACCAATTAGTATAGCATAAAATCGTAGCTAATAATCCATATCTTAATAGCATATAAGTCTTAAGTTTTTAATTTTATAAGGCAATATTTAGAAAATCATGAATTTTCCCTAGTGTGAGAAATGTGAAATTTGTTCTCTAGGCATCCTATCTTCTTTAATTTTTTCACCATCCTTCTAATAAGTACGAAATTTAATGTAAATGACTTATAATATTATTATCGTTCAGACAAGGAGTAATTTTCTTGTTCGGTTACAGAGCCATCAAGTAGAAAATTAGACTCCTCTTGCCACACTCACCTGTAACATTTTCTCTTTCAGGATTTTGTTAATAGTTCTCTTACATTTAATTCTGTATTATGTATAACCAATAGAAAGCCATGATTTTCATCTATCAAATGACGTATTACATTACGTTGTTTTCTGTACAGAGAATTGTCAACTTCTCTCTTAGTACAAGCTTTGTTCCCATAGGAAACATATCGACTAGTTTGGATAAATTTGTAACAGCTCTTGTCGCATAGTTAGAAAGCCAGAAAAATTGTGGTAGTTATGGCACATTGTCTGCCTTTTTGCATGTTATTATTCTACGTTCTACCATTAGTATAAAATGTAGGGTTAAGTGTCATCAACAGTCATTGGAAAAAAAAAAAAGTACAGGTATGTACTTTATTTCTTTTTTTTCATGTGTATTCTTTATTTACTATTATAAAATTAATTAAAATGTAAAAATAGGAAACTCTTTAGGTTAGTTAAAGTAAGATTAGGTAAAATAAAAAAAGAGGGTAATTTCAATTTTTTGGATAGTTGTGAGATCAGTCAAATTTTGTACACAACAAATTAGGTTTTTAATTATTTTTAATAAAGATTTGTTTGTAAATATATCAAATAGTTTGTTTACTAGTCCAAGTGGAAAGTGATTTTCATGTTAATATAAAAATACTGCTATTCATCTGGAAATTATATAATAATAATAATGTAAATAAAAACATGTTATTTTTCAGTAAAACTTTATATATTATCTGTTATTTTCTCTACCCTAACTACATATATATACTTTGTAACTACTAAAAAAAATCTAAATAAATCTAAATTACCCTCCCTTTTCTCTTTCAAGAATGAATTCAAATTGTAACACGAAACTACGTTTGCTTATCCTAAGTAGCTTTAAACTCATAACAGTATACATTTGTTTATACTAAAATTTTGTTTTATTGCCCTTTGAACTGTGTCTAAATTAATATTCCCACCATAAAATGTGTAAATAAATTGGAAAATGTGGAGCTCATGTTACCCTATCGAATTACATAATGCAAGGATTACTCGCAAGAAATTGTGAAAAATTATTATTATTATTATTTATTTTACCTAATCTAAATTAAAAAGTTTCTAATTTTTACATTTTAATTCCTTTTATAGTAGCAATTAAAGAATACAAATGAAAAGCAAGAAATAAAGTACTTACCTGGGTCTTCTTTTTTTGCTGTAGACTGTCTATCACACTTAACCCTACTTTTTTTTATACTAATGGTACTATTGCACTAAATAGTTATTCAATTAAATAATGCACCAAAGAACACAGATTAATAACATGCAAAAAGCAGACAATGTCCCATATCTATCACAATTTTTCTGGCTTTCTAACAGTATGACAAGAACTGTTAAAAATTCAGCTAAACTCATCAACATGGTTCTTGTGAGAATAAAGTTTGTAATGGAAGAGAAATACACATTGCATCATACAGAAAACAACATAATATAATGTCATTTGATAGATTAAAACCTTGTTTTCTATTGGTTATAAGTAATATAGTATTAAACGTCAGAAAGAACTGCTGGCAAATAAGATTGAAGGCTATAAAAAATTATGCTTTCCCTGAGCAATGACAACATTATAATGAGTAACTTACATTAAATTTCATACTTCTTGGAGGGGTGGTAAATAAATTAGAGAAGAGGGGATACCTAGAGAACAAATGTCACAATTCTCACACTAGGTGAAATTGAAGATTATTTTTTAAAGAACTTTAAAGTTATATAATGTTAAAATTTGGTTTATTAGCTATATTTTTATGTCAAGTTTATTTATACACCTTGACAAGAAAGTAGTTTGATTCAGTTTTTAATGTAACTCACTAAAACCTTCTGACATGCATACAAAATGATGCCCATTCTGAAAAAGTTACCAAAGAAAATCTCAAAATGAGACCTAACAATTACGAAGTTAACTTTTTATACTACAAAGTTACTCTTCTGCACTATAGCACTTTCTCAAATATTTAAAAAAGATTACAATTATCTTTATGAATGAGTAACTATAACTGATAAGCTAGATGTGGCTTTGCTTTGAATCAATTCAAAGTTTGATCCTTTCTACAAGCACAATACATATAATTCATTGTACAGTGCAAGAAAAAAACTGTCCTGACACAAAAATAGGGAAAAAAAATATTTTGAAAGATCTATTTATATTTTTTGTCTGGATAATTCTAAACATATCTTTTGTTTAACATTCAGGAACATACCCAGTTTTTACACGGCTTTTCATCTGAGAAAGGAGAAGGAAAATGTAAAGCCTGCCAAGGAGCTCTCATCTTCTTTTGAAGAAGAACGTCATTCAGCCAATAAGCAGTAACGCAACGCTTCCCTTCTCTCATTGCCTGTAAAAAGGGAAGCTCGACTTAAAAACAGGATGGTAAACCTAACCTACGGTTTAGCTAACATCTATAATGCAACCTCATAGTCTCATAAAGAAAAAATTATTATCTCTGGGAAATATTGAAAATGGCAAAATGAAAAAATTAAAGGATTTTTTTTAAATTGTCAAATTATTCATATCCTACAAATTATAAAACAAATCTCTGTAAACATTAACACCGACATAATTACATTGGTTAATACTCATCAAGTCTTTTGAAATTTTTGCACCAATGAGTACATGACCCATTTGCTCAAAAGAGTAAAATGATATCCTTGTATACAAAGACAGTCATTCAGTCCTACTATTTTTCTCTTATCAGTCCACTTTTTTTTAAATCTTAAGTTTACAGTTTATCACACCTACTGACTATTACTCAACTAGTCAATGACTCCCCCCCCCCCAAGAGTCTACTGTCCATAAGTTCCATGCTCTGTCTTATTACTAAATTAGTCAATGGCTATTCCCCAAATCTATAGTCCATCTGTTCCATGATCTGTCTTGTTACTCAGCTAGTCCATGGCTATTCCCCCTGACTCTACAGTCCATCAGTTCCATGGTCTGTCATTTACATAGCCTGTTTATGAATATTCCTCCTGAGTCTACAGTCCATCAGTTCCATGGTCTGTCTTTTACATAGTCTGTTTATGAATATTCCTCCTGAGTCTACAGTCCATCAGTTCCATGGTCTGTCTTCTACATAGTCTGTTTATGAATATTCCTCCTGAGGCTACAGTCCATCAGCTCTTAGATATTAATGACCAATTACTACTGTGTTTGTGATGTAAATATTCTATAGTTTGAATATTCTACAAATGTTGATTAAATTAGAGGCACTATTATGATTTACTGAGCCTTAAATACATCACACATAAAGCTGAAGGACAAATAAGGGGACAACTTACTTGCTGTACAACTGAATTCCGTTGCTTCTCACAGAGAACATGTGAGCAACGACTTGAATATGAATTTTCTACTTCACCTCCATGCTGTTCAACAACCTAAAGAAAAACCTCCTTTTTTAATTAGATTTTATTCTGATCTTGCTTCAAAAATTAAATTAGTAATTATTGTAATGTCCCTTCTTATACTAGAAATTCTACACAAGATGCCAACTAATACATTACCTTTAACATAACTCTGTTGCTTAACCGTTGTCTTCAAAAAATTCAGCTGATAAAGTAAATAATAATAACTAAATCTGTGATTTGTTTAATTAAATACTGACCAGGCAGCTTTTACATTACTTCAAGTTTATATTTTTCATGAGGTTGTCAGTCAGTTAATCTGTCATAATTTTAATAATGCACAAAATTCAAGGTACAATTCAGGAACACAGAAAACTATGAAGTGTCTTGGAAGTTAACATATTCCTTATCAGAAAATGTATTTCCAATAGATACCTCGATGCACAGAATGTCTATATTCCTCGCATTTCTGCCTAAGAGATTTGCATGCCACTAGCCGTTAGTTAACTTCTATTTAAAATTCATGTGTTTAACGTGAAATGTGCTGGTACATGATATCATCAGGTGACAACAGCCTTCCCCCAAAAGGAGGGTGACAAAACTACCTTTAAGCACTTGCACTAACTTCATTTTTAACTGAGGCAAGATGAAAGTGCACTGGAAGTAGGTGAGTATCTCTCAGAAATACATTTCAGATTCAGAAAAGATGTACAATATACTGTGTAGGCAGGAGAAAAGATTTGGAAAACTTGAGAGAAGAGACAAGTAGATGCCTATCATACATGTAGCAATATAATCTCAGCCTCAGTCCATTAGGTACAGAGCAAAGGCCCTCATGACTCGACCGAAGTCGCTGAGCCTGTGCCAAAGGGAAAAGCAGAGAATTGAAAGCTCAGTTTTGAAGGACAAAATATTGAAAACGTCTCAAGGATGGGACAATTGGAATAGGTAGAAATGTGTCTAACATGTTGACCTTGGTCATCCATAAAACAGGTAAAAAATACCACCAGAGAAAAGGGAAATTCTCCATCCAGAAATGTGGATTGACCAGAGACTGGTTGAGAGATGATAGGTCTATAACTGGACACTAGTCCCCAGTCTTACTGAGGACCACAAAGAAGCAAAAGTAACCCAGAGAAGGAGTGTATACCTTTTCAACTGCATTTTTGGCAAAAAGTTTCGAGACCATATCCTTGAGACATTGATGACAAATGAGGTTAGAGGAAGGAGAAAAAGAAACAGGAAGAGGAGAAAGGGGGGGAAGAGACCGTGGGTGAGAATCCGAAGTAGCCATCTGTTAGCAAAAACTGAGATCAAAGGTTGGTAAAGTGAGACAAATAGACACTCACTGGGTCCGACCTGACAGGATAGTCACAGACAAGATGAGTGACAAACCTGACATCAGGAAGCAGGAAGAAAAGGAAGCTGGAAAGGTAGGGGTAGACTAATCTGGTTGAGGAATAGGAGTTAAAGGGCAACATTGAAAAAAAAACAAGGGAGAAACTAGGGAAGATAAAAAGGAGTGATGCTGGGTCTCCAGGGAAGCAGGAATACCACCAGTGACTTCTGGTTGAAGAAAGGGAGTTTGACAAAGGTCACGTAAAGAAGGAGGAGGGCAGTGGACATTAATGAGGAGTGCATCCCAACCCAACCAGTCCCAACAGCAGAGGGACAGAGCAGAAGAAATGGTACAGGCCAAAGGAGTAAAGAGAAGGGAACGAACCTCTCTGAAAAACCCCTATAATCCATAATTAAGTGCCTCAGACTTAAGGTGAAGGGAGGAAATATAACACAAGAGAGTGGTGAGAAAAAGCTGAAGGTGCAAAAACTGGGCACTAGTGAGTAAAATAGAAGACAAGTGGGTTCACTCTCTGAGTAGACAAAATAAATTCAAAAGACTGGGGATCTAGAAAAGGTAAGAAGAATGGGTGTAAGCTAAGACAAAAAAGTCAAGAAGTATGTGGGTAAGGGTGTCAAGTTGTTCAAGAAAGGAATAAGCACGAACCCTAATATCAGACAAAGGAGGAAATACAATGTAACCCCAAGAATTGATTTCATAAAGTAAAGAACAGGAAGAATCAAAAGACACAGGTGAAAGAAAGGAACATACCTGAGAATTCATATCCAGAAAGTTTAAATGGTTGAGGATTTTCTTTGACTGATAAGGCAATATTCAAAGCAAACCCAGATGGGATGGACAGTAGGTCAAAGTTGTTGTCCTTCTGGTCAAACATAGGAGAAGGGACATCAGCCAAAGGGATGGAAGGATGAACCAAGTATGTAAGAGAGAGAACTCCAACATGCTGTACGATAGCTGTAACATCCCCAACAGTCAACGAGCCTCCAGAAGTTACAGTAGAAACAGGTTCTATGTTTATAACTTCACCACCTTCACACGACAAACTAGAAGTCACTGCCACTTGAGAATTCATTACAATATTCAATGTTTTCGAAACAAAAGCTAAGGTAGAATGAAACTTAAGTTCCTTTGACGAATGCAAGTTTCAGTGAACTGAATCTAGACCCAAAAACCAACATGTCTGTTCAAGGCAATGTTCATGGAGGTTGTGTCACCCCCCTACTTGTGGAGGGGTATTGTCGCATCATCATGCACCAATGCAGTTTACATTAAACACATGAATCTCAGATGGGAGTTAGCTCAAGGCTATTGACATGCAAGTCTTAAAGGCAGATGTGCAAGGGAAATAGCTATTGTGTGTATACAAGTGAGGTATTGTTTTGGAATTAATACATTATGTATATAGTTTGAAATTTGGCTATATAAGTAAAGTTCTATACTCCACATGGTGATGGGATAAATACTCTCTATTTTTAGGCACAAATTTACCTTCAGTTGTTGCTGATATATCTTTTCACTATTTATAATCTGAGATCTCACCTTGCTCCAGGTAAACAGTTTGTCTTCCTCTACTGAACGATTATAATCTTCAATGCAGAAGACACAGCCTAACAGACAAAGGTCTCCAGGAACTGAGATATAAAGGCATCATATGTAAACGTTCATCTCAATATGAATTAAGAGTCAATGCAACGTAAGAAAATATGTCCAATATATACTAAAAAATAAAACGATTAAATCTGAGCTCAATCATACAAAGAATCTAATGTCTGTATCAAAGTTCAACTTTGCTATAAAAAATTTTAAAAAACACTGCTGCATCTACAGTAGCCAATCAGACAAGAATAGGAATAGGTCAGAAATGTTAACTGTTTCTATCGTTATCAAGTTTATTATTATTTTGTGTGTGTGTGTGTGTGTGTATATATATATATATATATATATATGAGACAACCTTTTGCTAAACAGCGTGTGCTCTGCCATAAAAAACTGATGTTAGTTTTCATAAAACTTCTTTTCTTACACTTCAGGCAAACAACGCTGCATGCCCTGCCTATCAAAGAATTAGTGTAAATACGTTGAAATTATAAGCTTATGCTACCATTATCACAATAAAGAATATAAACATCATTATTTCTTCTTGTAGAGAACTTCAACTAAAGATAGGTATTTAAATTAGTGTCACGAAAATGATGACCTACTAAAACAAATCAAAATTAGTGATCCCAATTATCAATATTTCTGATTATTTCAACTACCTACATAATCCAAATATTACCATTATGACATCTAATTATTTTTGATCAATTCAAGCTCGTTCAGCTTAATTGATTACTGTCACAACTCACAAATATAATCAACTAACTAAAATAAAGATTCCTGATTATTACTCTTTTTGATTATTCCAACTATCCAAATAATACAAAATACTGCTATTCTGGTTTGTCAATATTATAATTTTTATTAATATAAGTTGTTCAGCTTCTGGCTGACATGGCCCAGTGATTAGAGAAGTTGCCTCAAAAATTTAGTCTTTGGTTCAGTACCTATTACCATAAAAAATTCCTGCCGTCTCAGCTGCATGGGCATTATATATTAGTTTTTAAGTTACAGCAAAGCTACAAGACTATTTGCTGCTGTCCATAATTTCGAACTGCTGACCAAAGGGTATGCGCAAAAGGCTGGCAGATACCCCTTGAATGTGTCCTGTTAATTAAACCATCTAGTTGCATCAAGCTTTGAAATTATGAAACTGTACAAAACATTTTCTTTGAATTTACTCCTGCAACAAATACCTTTGAGAATTATTAGAGAGATATGGACAAAATGGCAAACCAAACTTCTAATATATAAACTTACCTTGGACTAGTGGGTCGTGTCCATAAAATGTTACTTCTCTTGAAGCCACTGCAGCCGTACCAGCACCTGGGAATGACGCCCCTCCTACTGTAGCCTGTGGTGATATAAACTGTTGACCATTTTTTCCACCTGATGATGCCTAAAAACACACAAGATATTCCAAGTGTTTATAATAATTCTCTCTTTTTTTTTTTACATATAATCTCAAGTCAGATTTGATATACTTTTCCTAATTTGTATATAAGATGAAACTACTTACTTCTAGAAGTTCTTTTCTCTTCCAAAGCCATATTGGTAATTTTTAACAAAGCTAAGATAAAAATACAAATTTAAATGTATTCTTTTTTATATGCACCTGAATGTAGGACAATTTAAAGAATGAATAAATACCTAAAAAACAAAACATGCATTATTAAAAAAACAAAAACACATTACCTACATGTTTTCGACTAACACCAATCATCAGGACAATTTAATTTAGCATGCAATTCTTCTTATCCATTTTAAAGAATGTTAAATGTCATATATCTTACACTGTTTAAGTGCAAAAGACTTTTGAAGATTATCCTTACGTAAGAATGTGCGTGTTTGGCACATCAATGTAATACAAACATTTTTAGGACTACAAACTAAGAATTGGTAAGGATATCATAATGGCTTTGAAAAAAAAGAAAGGAAAGAAAAACTATTTTTTGAACAAAACTGAGTCTGAAATCACAAACTTACAATGAATAAGTATTTAGTTGTTTTTCTTTCCGTACAGGGATGGAAATATTGAAAATCCATTACTACCTAGAAGTTCGGCATGGTCACATTATCTCCAATTAAAGTTTTTTAACAAAAATGTTATGGGTGCAACAATTTTTGAAAATGTAATTTATTTGTATGTACACTCACATATATTAGCTTTTACATGACCAAATATATATCCATGCTTAGTAAATGTCAATTCTAAATGGAAATATCAGAGGAAATCAGAAAATATTAATTCACTAACAAAAAAACCAACTTACAGAAGGCTGTTGGGCAGCAGGAGTTTGGATCTGTGAAACCCTGTTTGGAACCTGACCATCTTCAGTTCCATCTGCTCCCTTTACACTCCCGAGAAGTCTGTTGTTCAACAGGTTAGCCAATGCTGTTTTAGTCTTTGGCTTAACTTGAGCAGCAGATTGACCAGAAGTAATTTGTGGTGGCGTTTGTATACCCTGTTGAACACCTCCTGATGTATGTACTAAAGACTGTTGACAAGGAACCACGGTAATGTTAGGCTGAGAACCAGGACTCGGGGGTACTTGACTAGTAGTACCACCTGGGTACTCTGGAGGGGGCCGAGAAATGAGTTGCACTTGCCCCAATGGTTTTTGTACTTGTTGTTGTTTCTGCTGCTGAAGAAGCTTTTGTCTCCGTTGGAGTTCACGCTGTTGCCACTGTAGTATCTGCTGTTGCAGCTGTGTGTTTTGTTCTTGTGATGATGTTTGTTGTTGCTGGGGCCATACAGGAGTTTGTTGGTTTTGGGTTAGGTCTGTATCAAGTTGTGCCTGTCGTTGTTGCTGTTGTTGCCACAAAATCTTTCGCTGTAATGCTTGTTCCTGGGTGTCCTCTTTTGGTGTGGAAGGAGCCCAACGTACAACATGTTGGGTTTGTTGCTGTAGAAGCTCTCTCGGCTGGATCTGTTGCTGCTGTTGCTGAAAGGGCATTCTCGGCTCAGGATTTAATTGCTGAGGTGACTGTGGAGGAAACTGTAGTCTAGGCTGGCCAGTCAATTGGTTATGTTCAGTGAAAGGATACTGAGGAGGGGGTTTCAGTGCAACCTGAGGCTGTCCAGTTAATACAGGAGGCTGTGTTGTGGAAGCATTCATGCTCTGTTGTCGTTGCTGCAGCAATGTATTTGGTCCAGGTGCATGGGTGGCCTGACTAGTCTGAACAACTTGCTGCTGCTGTTGAAAAAATGTTTGTTGTTGTTGATACAGCTGTTGCCTCAACTGTGGTGACTGTTGTATGAGTTGAGGTTGCTGAGACAGATGTTGCACAGGTGGCTGACCATGTGTGGCTGGCTGATGGTGTTGCTGCTGTTGTTGAATTAACTGGTGTCGTTGAGCCAGGTGATGCACTGGGGGCTGGCTTGCTGTTTGGTGCTGTTGCTGTACCATTGGAGGTCGCTGTTGTAGAAGTTGTGCTGGTGGCTGTCCAGGCGTGGTTTGTTGCTGGAACTGTAAAGCCTTTTGTCTTGGAAGGTTTTGGATTTGATACTGTTGCTGTTGACCAGGAAGCTGCTGGGTATTGAGTTGCTGCTGTTGCATCTGGTCTTGAAGCTGTCGTAATCTAAGTAACTGTTGTGTCAAGTGTTGGGACTGCTGTGGTTGTTGTTGAGGCTTTTGTACAAACTGCATTCCTAGCTGTTGCTGCTGTTGTTGGTTCTGTTGTTGTTGTTGCCACTGTAACCTCTGCTGGACAAACTGCTGCTGTTTTTGCTGAATCTGTTTCTGCAACTGCTGTTGTTGCAACAGATGTCTGGGAATCTGTTGCTGTTGTCGTAACAGCTTTATTTTTTGCTGTATCTGCTGAGAAGACAATTGACTCTGTTGTTGATCCAGTGCTTGCAGTTGTTGTTGAATATGAGGCTGTTGCTGTTGGAGAAATTGCTGCATTTGTTGCTGCTGAGGTGATGGGGTATCAACATTAGTTGCTGACAGTTGAGACTGAGACTGAATAACTTCATATTGATGTGGAAGTGTTACTAGTTTCACCTGATCTTGAGATTCTCCTACACCTAAGGTTGCTTTACACTCTCTTATGCTAGGAATACTCACAATTCGGGGTGCAAAATGCGAATTGGGAGGATTCTGGCTCGGCAGTGTTAGAGTTATCTCTGTCTCAGTAACTAAGTTGTTTCGTGTTGTTGATGTTTCAGAGGTTTGTTCTGACGAAGATATGACAGAGAGTTTGGGCTGCTCTGGTTCTGGTAGAATTAAAAGACGTGGATGATATAGGTCTTCGTCACAAACCATCTTGTTTTTGACGGAATCAACCACCCAGTCTGGTGTCACTATTTTTATTTGCTCATGTGTTTGTAAGGCTCGTTCATACTTTGCCTGTTGGAAAATAAATCAGGTTATATATATATATATATATATATCGCTCCCTGTATGCCAAATTTTCACTTGCTTTCCAATAAAGATCTTAATAGTTTTTGTATCAGGTGACATTATTACATCCGAAAACAATAATTCTACAAGATAAGCAATGCAACAATAATGCTTAATTACATTGTTACTCAAAACCATGTCACTACGTGCCTGTGCACTATGAAGTATTAATAACGATGTATTAAGTCATTGATTGTAAAACTACAAAAACAAAAATATTTCCTTAGAGCACTGAGAAATACATTTCATGATAAACCTCTGATGTTA